AATCCCTCACGGTGCACGCTCACACGCCCGTCACCTAGCATGTGCGTCACCTCTAAATATTCACATCATACCAATTTTCGAGGTTTCATACCCTCAAAACCATATTTAAGACTGTTACTTACTTCAATCGCGCAGAAATCCTACTCTAAAATGCCTTAGCCTCTCGAATCGGCCTCTAAATGCCCCGAATCTAGCCACAAACAGTACGAGATAATCAATAATTAGCTAAAAGGATCAATTCCACAAGAAAACTACTAAAATATAGTCCAAAATCCGAAATTGGCTCAACCCGACCCCCCGGGCCCATGTCTCAAAACCCGACAAAAGTCACAAAACCCGAAAGCTCATTCACTCACGAGCCTAACCATACCAAATTTATCAAAATCCGACCTCAATTGCCCCTCCAAAATCCCAAAATTCACTCTCCAAATTCCCAAGCCCTAAATCTCCCAAATCTCACCTCAAACACTCACCAACTAAGTGTAAAAATCAGTGAAAAAACACCATTATTGAAGATAAATAGGCACAAGAAACTTACCTCAGTGATTACTCTGAAATCTCTCTCAAAATTCCCAAAATGCGAGCTAAAAAATGACGAAAATAGTGAAAAATCTCGAAGTCTTCTATTTATAGGTTCTGCCCAAACTTCTCGCACCTGCGGCTCCATTTTTGCATCTGCAGGCAAAGCCCCGCTTCTGCGGAAAAATTACTAAAATACTGCCTCCGCTCCTGCGATCAAGTGACCGCATATGCACTCTTCGCGGGTGCGGGAACTACATCGCACATGCGGTCCAAACTCGCACCTACGCCTCTAAATCCGCTTCTGTGACCATCGAAGGTGCGGGAATGCCATCGCACTTGCGTTCTTTACCCAGATCCTCCTTAGCCGCATTTGCGGCTCCTCCTTCGCTTCTGCGGGCTCGCACCTGCGGTTCCCACTCCGCAGGTGCGGTTACACTAGTAGCCGCAGCTTCAGCTGCAATTCATCAACTCCTATCAAGCCGTTAACCACCCAAAATCATCCTGAGGCCTCCGAGACCTCAACCAATTATACCAACAAGTCCTATAACCCGATAAAAACTTATTCAAACCTTTGAATCCCTCAAAATAACATCAAAATACGAAATTACACCCGGATTCAAGTCTAAATAACTTCTAAACTTCTGAATTCCACAACGACGCCGAAACCAACCAAATCACGTCCGATTGACCTCAAATTTTATACACAAGTCAAAAATGACACCACGAACCTATTTCAACTTCCGAAAATCCAATCCGACCCCGATATCAAAATTTCCACTACCGACAAAAATCGCTAAAATTCCAACTTTCGCCAATTCAAGCCTAATTCTACTACGGACCTCCAAATCACATTCCGGACGCGCTTCTAAGTCCAAAATCACCTAACGGAGCTAACAGAACCATAAAAATTCAAATCCGAGGTCGTTTTCCCACAAGTCAACATCCGATCGACTTTTCTAACTTAAGCTTCCAATTAAGAGACTAAGTATCTCAATTCACTCCAAAAATACTCCCGACCCGACCCGAACCAACCAACCCAGTAAGACATAATACAACTGTAAAGCATAAAAGAAGCAAAAATGGGGAAAACGGGGCTATAACTCTCGAAACGATCGGCCGGGTCGCTACACTGTATGAATTTTCACCTTCTTATTTGTTGTTATTGATGATCTTTCATTTGAGTTGTGTTATTCATTGCTTGGCTTACCTAACATTTTGGGGTTTAAGTGCCATCACGACTAGGTGAAATTTTGGGTTGTGACAAAATACTTGTATGGAATCCATTTCTAAAAGGAAAATTACTAGTAACATCGATGGTTAATTTACACGTATTCGAAATGTACTCGCTCAATTAGCACAAGAAATCATATTATTTACTTATTAGAGTATATATATATTTGTTACATCCCGTACTTTTGTACGTTAGATTTATCGTAAGATAATTAACATAAGTTCAAGAACAAGATTATTTTTTGAGCTTATAAGTATTTACGCTATTTATAATAAGTGATAAGTAAAGTCGTGAAGGTGAGAGGGTAAACGAGTTAAAGAAAATAAGGTTGGTCGAAGTTTGACATTTTGGGATAAAATACGGTCCAAGCCATAATATCCCATATTTATGGAGTAGTGTTATACCACATGACCATGATAGTAAGGTATATGAAGTATATTAGTATTTAAGTGAATTGAGATCAAGGAATTAATTATGTGTATAATTGGCTAAATGGAAAATTATAGTGGAAGACAAGTTAAATTGAATTATTGAATAATTGGTGTAGTGGATAACATTCCACATGTCACATGGTGGAAGCAACATTAGTGACTAATCTATACCCATAAGTGGTAGCGGCACTATTAAATTCAATGTCTCAAGAGAGAAGCTAAGGAGGACATGTGTAAATAGAAAAAGATTACAATTATGTCTCTTGTTTCACTTGATTTGAGAATGAAATTGAAGAATATCTAGGTTCAACATGGTGTAGCAGCAAGGAACGTTAATTTGAGGTGATTTTCAGCAACATGAGCTCAAAATTCCATGAAAGCAAAGTGTAATATTTCTCAAAGACAATATACGGGTTTTGCGCACCACCTCGATCTCGTTGTTTCATTTTGGCGCGTTGGTTAATCTGGGCTTTATTTGATGTGAAGTACGATGGAATAAGAGTATTTTATGGCAAATAAGGTAAGAATTTTCCTCTCCTTGGTATATTTAAATTCGTCTAGGTCATGACTAAATTGTGGAACGAGAATTATGGAATTAATAGCGAAAAATCGTATTTTGACATTGTTATTGTATTGGCTATTCGGTAATTTTCTAAGTTTTATTGTGGCTGAAAATTGTTGGAGTAACTTGAGTATACAGTTGGTGTAGTCATTGATATGTGTTTTGAAGGAAAGAAAAGATTAGAGAAGCGTGGTTGATAATCGTAGCCGATTTTTCAGCTCGTTGTATCATTGTTTGGGTTGTAAAACTTGTTATAGGAATTTCTAGTTGTGTTGTTGTATTACCTCGCCTATGGAAGGCTTGAGGGAATGACAAGAACAGGGAAAATACTATCCATTTCATTGTAGGATAGGCTATCTTCCGTTATGTGATTAAGAGAATTGTTCATATGGTTGATAATAGTATTATTCTTGTTATCGTATAGATCGTGAAGCGGATTCAAGTTGAGCTCTTGAGCCAGTGGGTTAAGACCAGGTATGTTAAAGCTATCCCTTCTTTCCTTTTGGCATGATCCATATGATAAAAATGAAACGAGCAAACGCACAACTTTCATTAATGACACTATTCTTAGAAGTACTAGGGGTTCCTATGTTCTTGATTCCACACGTTTCCTATTATTCTATCATCTATTCATAGGTCTCAGAAAATAATTAAGTTGATAAAATTTATTTCATGATATTAATTAAAGACATAATGATCTTATGACATTCCGAGAGATCCTATTGACTTATTTCATTATGCATTGCATTCATTTATACATGTACATTGACCCATGACCAGATGGCGTTATATACGCATATATTATATGGGATATGGGGAAAGGATAGCGTTATATATGCATTACCACCTGATCAGCTGGTATACGTTGATGATTTCGCCCACAGTGGCCGAGATGATATGATGGGATGCCCTCAGAGGCTTGATGATGTTATGTACGCATATACCTATGCATCATATGACATTTATACGCATATGCATGACATTATAAATATTCACAGAGCTATTCAGACTTACATGTTGAGTCTTTTACTCCGTGTTTCTCTCATGTCTTTTATTTACTGATTTTCATTCCTTACATACTCGGTACATTATTTGTACTAACGTCCCTTTTGCTTGGGGACGTTGCGTTTCATGCCCGCAGGTCCTGATAGACAGGCTGACAGTCCTCCTAGTAGGCTATCAGCTCAGCGGAAGGTATTGGTGCACTCCACTTGCTCTGGAGTTGCCTATTTGGTCAGTATGCTTTTAAGATGTATTGATCTGTATGGCGGGGCCCTGCCCCGACCTTTATGACGTTTATGTACTCTTAGAGGCTTGTATACATATGTTATGTATATGGATACTTGTATGGCCTTGTCGGCCTATGTTTTGAATTTACAAGTGATCATGTCGGCCCGTATGTCACATGTATAAGTTTCTATATCAGGTTGGGTCGTTCTATGTCGAGTATTCCCTCATGCTTTATTCTAGTTATTTCATGACGGCCTTTCCGGCTACACAAAAGATACGTTACATTGGTACTCAGTTGAGTAAGGCACCGGGTGCCCGTCGCGGCCCATCGGTTTGGGTCATGACATAATTTCGGACATGTAGTTTTCAAAAATATTAATCATAAGAACGATTCACATAAAAGGGTTGTATATTGACTAATATTATCACTAGTTTCTGGAGTATTGATTAGAAAAGCATTTTAAAGTAGTATACATAATATTAAAATATGTGTTCATTGACTTACACGAAATTTGAAGAGGAACATATAAACATAAATGATGAATATTGAGCCTATTCGATAGATATTTATTGTTATTGCAAAGCACAAATGTATCGGAAGTTACTTTCGAATGAATGTAAAAAAAATACCCTTCATTTGCCGGTTCGTGAAGTTGAATTCTAGGGAGAAAGAAGTGTTCCTGTAGTAGTACTTATTTCTCCAAAACAAAGAATCAGGTGACACTCTGCCAAGATATGAAGAAACTCTAAAGATCGTAAACACAATCATGTCTTTAAAATCAAATATTGCAATTTCTGATTACTCGTTTTTCAAACTCAAATTTGAGTGCACAAAATCAAAAACATTTTTTTTCAACTTACTCTGAAAACCCTAGATTTATGATATTTCTATATATTATGCCAGCTTTTTGGTGACGCACATGTACAGTGCCGCGGTAGATGCTGGGCGCATGATATAATCACCAAGAGAAAAGATAGAATAGTTAATTATTAGTAAAATATGGAATTGTACATAAGAAACGAAAGACAAGAATCTCAATCTACTTCATGGCAGATTGATATACTAGGAAGAATTGAGTGTATATGTTATTTTTTTAATCAACACAATTCCGTATATAAATATAAAAGCTCTAATATTATTTTACCTGCATGCAGATACATGTTTGTTATAACATGCATCCACGTAAATGTTGATTTAACTGATTTCTTGTTCCCCAAGATAAGCCTTAGGCTTTGGCTTAGGAGAAACAAGAGTTGAGGCCATGGAATTTGAATTAGATCTGATAAATGCCAAATTTTCCAATCTCTGAAAGGTGGAATCTGATCTGGTTCGTCGATGTAATAAAGATCGTTTCTCGACAACCTCAATATCCCATAAGACTTTTTCGTAGGTCCTATTAGTATTTGGGGCGTCGTGTGTAATGGAGTTTCTCCACGGTGGTAATCCTCCATTAGGTCGAAGGTAAGTCCCCCAAAATGATTTGAAGCGCACCTGAAATCCATCCCTTATGGGTTCCCATTCGACCGATGGGTATGTCTTTTCTGGAAGATCAGCTTGGATCACTTTCTTCCCAGAAACACCTGGAATGAATGGTGTGTTGGTAGCTGTTAGGTATTTCCCGAAATAACTCTTAAGCCGAAGGGCGTCTTGTCTTCCCTCAACAAATTCCACCCTCCAAATTGCATCATTATTTGATCCTTTGCGACTTTGTGAAACCGATTCTTTGTCATCCATCGCTATTAGGAACTTGTCTTTCCGGTTTCTAAGGCGGACGCTCTCAGCCCTTTGGAATAGATCCATCACACCAATACTGAAAACAAAATTACATATACAAATGAGAGTTATATTAAATTGCATATTTGATCAAATATATATATTGCCTGCATGCATACCTCAGTTAACGCCAAAATGCTGAAAAATCAAAAGCTTTAAGAATTGATAAGGGTTTAGATGTGGATAGAAAACGTGAGATTTAGCAGATCTTGAAAGATTACATATGAGTTTATCGACGATTCTTTAGGACAAAGATAAATCCTTTTATATATTTGTTTTGATAAAGACTCAAAAGTTGATATCTAATTTACATTTATCTAAATAGTCTACCCATTTGTTGTTTATAACCACGTCGTGTGAGTTGTAAGTAAAATATCCTCACATGTTTGGTATGACAAAAGAATATTAGGATCTTAAACATTAATATCCTTCTAGGACTTTCTTTAACAGTCTAAATTCACAAAAAATACATGGTCAAGATTAATCCTTATTAGTAAATTAATATCATTTCAATATAAGTTATGGTAAATTACTATAAATACCTTCACAATATGATTCAATCACGTATTTTAAACCAAGCACCTACACCCCTATATTATGAAAATTGTGCACAAATACAACAGTGTTATTCGTGCTTTTCAAAATCATACATTTAAATCCTTTATACAATAAATCAGGAGTTATTTGCATTTTGCACCCTTAGTGTATGCAATCCTTTATAATTTGTGTTACATCCCTGTAACGATCCGACGGGTCGTGTTGAGCATTTACATTTCGTTTGATGGTTCGAGGTCATGAGTACTTTCGTATGATGTATTACGACTTGTGTGTATAGTCGGTTTCGATTTTCAGGTGATTCGAGATTGATTTGGAAAAATTATTCTCATCTTAGAAGTTTTAAGTTGGAAGAGTTGACCAAGTTGGACTTTTGAGTATTTGACCCCGGATCAGAGTTTTGATAGTTTCGTTAGGTCCGGATGATCATTTTGGACATGGACTTATACCCAGATTTGCATTTAGAGGCTTCTAGAAAATTTTGGCCATAATTAGCGAAAGTTGGCAATTCAAAGATTTCGAAGGTTTATAAGTTTGACCGGGACTTATACCCAGATTTGCATTTAGAGGCTTAGATTCGGATTATTGTTCTGTGAGTTGGAATAGGTTCGTTATGTCATTTGGAACTTGCGTGCAAAATTTGAGGTCATTCCAGGTTGATTTGGTATGATTCGGCACGAGTTTTGGAAGTTAAAAGTTCATAAAGTTTGATTGAGGTGCGATTCGTGATTTTGATGACGTTATGTGTGATTTGAGGCCTCGAGTAGGTCTGTATTATGTTTTGAGACTTGTTGGTATGTTCGGACGGGGTCCCGAGGGACTCGGGTGAGTTTCAGGGTGGTTTAGGACCATTTTTAGGCCCTTTTCAAATGTTGGTTTTTGGCTACAGGGGTGTACATCGCGATAGCAGAGCTCCGGGCCATGATCGCAAAGAGTAAAATGGAAAATTGGACATGTGAATCGCGTTCGCGGATGAAGCTTCACATTTGCGAAGAAGAAATTTTTGCTGTCACTGAGCTGACTTCGGGAGCTTATATCTTGCAATTTATAAGGAATTGTGAGGTGATCTAAAAACGAAAGTTGTAGCCCTTTGTTTCTACGTTTCAGAAAATCAAACTGTTTATCAATTGAAGTTATGTAAATAAATTATGGCTGATATACTATACTGTCTGGGAAGAGTTTGGGAAGGGTTGATGAAATTTGTTCATCGCGATCGCGATGGGTAAAAACTGTGCTAGACAATTTTGGTTCATCGCGACGCCTTTTCCTTCAATTGACTATAAACTCTGTAATACTGTCATCTTTTTTATCTACCGTTGTCATCCATGTATTACATCTTACTCATAATGCTTTATTAACTCTCTTCTTATTTCCTGCTAACATTTATGTCTATCACTTTATTCTGAAAACTCGAACAAGACATTCTTTTGCTTTTATCTCGCCTTTGCTTCCATCCAGTGGCTCTTCGGATTGCTTAGCATTCTCACTCTACTAGGGACGCGAGTCAAACTAAGGTAATATTTATCCCTTTCAAGCTTTCAGTATTCACATCTAATTATAATATTCTAGAATGCACCATTTGGGTGTCTCACAAGGAGATCTATTAGCACCTTTGTAATATCCTTCGAAAATGTCAACTAACACAAATAATCCATTCACCATTTTGGGTTACTCTCACCCCGGCCGTATTCTAATATCCCGTACTTTTCTTAAACTACACATGTTAGCCCCCAATAGGGCATAACTGAGATAGGTGTGGCCGATTGTACATACCTCTGTTACTGTTGAAGGTAACTCGGAATGCTTATATTTCTCGACCTGAATTGTAAATACTGTTAATCTTCATTAATTGGGTACCTCGTACCCTTCTTCACCTTGCTTATTTTACTTGCTGAAACTTGTGTCTACCTTCCGATTCTTTTATTCCTTTTTTACTGTAAGAGTGGATAGATATTCTTTCCTTAAAGCTCCTTATCAAGAAACTTACATATTTTAGTACACGCATGATCTGCTGAAGACCTCACATTTACTCATCATAAGAATCATGCAAAATCGAGTTTTCCTCTGACTCAACTCTTCTACATCTACATCTCTTATCAACCGTCCTTCTGGATGTAGGCATCGTCGTATTATGAATGAGATAGAGTTTAGAAAATTGAATTTTTACAACTGAGTTCTACCACACGATCTAGAGTAAAAAGAAAGAGTGACAGTCCTAAATGCCCTGTAGCCTCCTACTTATAAGTATGGTGCACAACACACCCATAAACAAGACTCTACTAGACCCGACTTGTAGACTCCCTAGGACAGAACTGCTCTGATAGCACTATTGTCACGACCCAAACCGATGGGCCGCGACGGGCACCCGGTACCTTACTCAATCGAGTACCAACATAATGTATCATTTTGTATCATACTATCATAGATAATTGAGCCAAAGAGGCTGCCGTGAGATAAGTAGAATACAACATGAAATACCAACTTATACTTAAGACATACGGGCCTATAAGGCTAAAATAACCACTCGTATACTGAACATAGGCCGACAAGGCCATACAGTCTTTTACATACATGACATCTGTCTACAAGCCTCTAAGAATACATAATTGTCATAAAGGTCAGGACAGAGACCCGCCATACTAAACAATACACGTCTAAATCATACTGACCAAACAAGCAACTCCGGAGCAAATGGAGCGCACCAACACCTTCTCCTGAGCTGATAGCCTACTTGGAGGACTCTCCACCTGTCTATCGGGACTTGCGGGCATAAAATGCAGCGTCCCCAGGCAAAAGGGACGTCAGTACAAATAATGTACCGAGTATGTAAGGAATGAAAATCAGTAAACAATAGACATAAGAGAAACATGGAGTAAAAGACTCAATATGTATATCTGAATAGCTCTGTGAATCATTTAATATTATAATGTCATGCATATGCGTATAAATGTCATACCATGCATGGGTATATGCGTTCATATCATCATCAAGCCTCTGAGGGCATCCCACCATATCATTTCGGCCATTGTGAGCAAATCATCAACGTATACTAGCTGATCAGGTGGTGGTGCATATATAACGCCATAATATTTTCCATATCCCATATACATATATATACATATATATACGCGTATATAACGCCATCTGGTCATAGGTCAATGTGCATGTATAAATGCATGAAATGCATAAGAATTACGTTAATAAGATTTCTTGGAATGTCATAAAATTAATATGCCTTTCGGATAAACTTTATCAAATACATATTTTTCTGAGACCCATGAATAAAAGATATAATAATAATTCACATAGGGAATCAAGAATATAGACACCCCTAGTACTTCTATGAATAGAGTCAGTTATGGAAATTGTGCATTTGCTCGTTTCGTTTGTATCATATTGATCATGCCAAAAAGAGAGAAGGGATAGCTTTAACATACCTGAACCGATTTTCTTGAGAAAGATTGCACCGTATTCCCTTATAATTGTAAAATCTCACAATAATAACATAAATCCAATGCCTATCAAGTGCTCCATCATGTGTTATTTGGTATTGGGGTAGGAAAATATTATGATTTCCTTCAATATATTCTGACGTGAGTTTCTAATAGAAAGAACAGTATACTTGAATCTCTTAAAAATCTATGAGACCAAATGAAGCAAAATGGTCACAATTCTTTAAGTGTGTTTGAATGGGTGTGGGCTCACTTCAAGTGGTGACTAAGCCNCCTCTTAGGCCTTAACCCAAGGTCTTAATTACCCACTAATGTCTTATTTAATTAATTAATCCCCTATTAATTAATAATCAACCAATTACTCATATAATCAAGAATTATCTCAAATTACTTAAAATACTACTCAATTTTAACACACTTTGTACACCTTAATATTATGGTCATGTGGTACCTTGTATGGTACTAGTCCATAAATATCGGGTATTTTAGCTTGGGTCGTATTTTATCCAAAATATCAAACTTCGACGAAACTTTAACGTACGAAAATGGGAAATGTAATATCTCATTTTCGAGCTTTTATCAATTTACTTATGGCGTACTTTTACGTACGAAAACATGGGGTGTAACATTATCAGTGGTAAATTGTAGATCAACATTGAGGTCAATCAACAATGGATGGATAAAAGTTACAAAGTATGAGATGAGATTAGGCCATCAGTCTCAAGATGAACAGTAATGAAGAAGCGTTAAAGGACTTAGATTTATACATATAGGATAAGCAACGAGAGTAACCTGGAGTTTAGTAGCAGACCTCAGTAACAATAAATCGAAGTAAGAGTTATGGTATAATATGACCTACCTAGATGCAGTAAAGTTATACGGATAGATAACCGGGTCTATGAAATAAGATATAGTAATGTTCGTAAGTTCAATAAAGTAACAAGCGAAGAACTTCAGTACACCTATAGGTTCCTAGAGGGGCAACTTGTCATAGTTATGCATATGTTCACTAAGTGAGACCTAGAGATTGGCTAAAAGCTAAAGGGAAGAGTCGCATAGGCGCACATACAAGAAAAGAGTAGTACATGCTGCATGATAGAAAGTAGCAATAGTTACGAGATTGGAAGAATTCCGACCACAAGTCGTGGTGTGAGAAAGAGGCCTAAAGGGGGGAATGCCCTGGCCTTTGGATTTATTCACAGAACAGTTGCCTAGGTGGCAAGGAGAATACTAAAGTATTCAGAAGACATAGGTGGTTATTAAAATGATAAGTGCATTAGTCAACATTTGAGGACAAATGTTTCGGGGGGGGGGG